ATCCCAAACTGCCAGTTGCCTTTGAAAGATTCACTGTCACGCTAGTCCTTTCTCCAGTAGAGTGAGTAGGCAATGGCATAGCCTGACTTAATGAGAATACAATGAATCCTTGAAGAAATCTTTCTATTCCACTTATGCTGAATAGTGACAGTCTACATCAGCTCAAACGATATCAGCAAGCATGAAGGTAGCTGAATTTTTATGAATTACATTGCCTTGGGCAATGTGAGCAAATAAGATCATCACTTGGATATATGTAATGTTATCTAGTCCAAATATCTTTATTGCTGACAACTCATCAACTGTCACTGACATCAGGTGTGTGTCATTAGATAGTGGCATAGTCTGACAGTGAGATTAATCCTATTGTTCAATTAATTGCTACAATTGCTTACACAGGGTCCTGTTCAGTGGATTTGCCCAAACAATGTATTCCCATTAGCTCTTGGAATAATACAGAGGCAAAGCCTGGTAGACATTAAAGAAGAATCACATTAACAATAAAACAAGAGCAGAAAGCAAAAATAGTTTTACAGTTCCTGAAATTCATGGGTAGGAAAGGAGAGAGAGAGCAGTGAGGTAGTTTGTAGAAAGCAGGATTAATTTGTTCTCTGACCCCAAAGTAGCTTTTATTTCCTGAGACACAGAATCATTAAATGGCTAACAAAGTAAATCTTGGCTGCCATGCCCGCCGTGTGGAAAGTACACATGCTTCTTCTCACTTGGGTGGGATCAGGTATCTATTTCTGTGGTGCTTTCTGTGATTATCTTAGAAAAAGATAAATATAAACTAATGTATATGTATACATATAGACTCTGTATATGTATTTCTGTATGTATTTTCTATGTGTGCTTCTGTGCAGTTGATAAAAAACTCAGTATCTGCAAGGTGTGAGGAGTGTATGTGGCTACTGATGTTTTTTCTCCTGTGGTGGTGCTTATGGAAGGCCTTTTGTTGAAGTATGGCCTTGACTCAACAAAGTATATGGACATGTATTTTAAGTAATTTAAATGCTCTGCTGAGTGGCAGATCAGCTCCTTAAAGGAGTTCTTAAGCAAGTATAAAAATTATTGACTGCACTATTCTGTAACTTGGACCGTATTCATGCAAGTTGCTTTCATGGCTCTCATACCTGCTGAAATCCTAGTCCAGTGACTGATTAGAAGGAAAATTATATCTCATCTTGTCATAATTGAGCACAGATGCTCTTTTATGAAGAAGGCAGAATGGTTGCTTATCTGAGATAATCACTAGTTGCTAGTTGCATGATGGAATATCTCAAAATGGACATTAGGTTTTGGTTGCCTTTTATGCCTGAAATTTTAGATGTATGGCATGAGAAGTAATAAGGAGAACCCATTTTCCATAATGTTCTGAATTTGCCTTCTGAAAACCCAACACTTTGAAAATGTATTATAGTGTCTTACCTAGGTTTCATAGAGAAGAAAACAAATACAAGTTTCCAGACATTTCTAAAACCTTTGAGCATCCCAAGTCTTTAAATAGAGAAAACATGAGTTGTCTTGGAAGATTGAGGCCCAAACTTTATAGGAAAGATGATGTGGATATCACAGATGTAGATGCTGAGATTCACATCCTAGTCTCTGTCCTACAGACTAGCACAACCAGAATTACATGCAAATATTTGTGAGCTCTGTCTCTCTTCTTGCATAGTTTCATGTGCTATGTAGATTTATTGATAGTGATAGAAGTGGCATTGCCACCTAATGGGGACCAGTGGTTTAAAACATTCACTAGCTGATAAACTCTTCATTCGTTATCTTGAACTAGGTTTCTTCCCCTCCTCCAAACAGACTGTAAATTAAGGCTTTTGAAAGGACTATGAGAGAAAAATATCGTTAATGAATTGCATGGGTAGGGAAGTTTTTGTGAAATACTAGAAACCGGGCATTGAACAAGGACATGATAGGATTCTGTGCTTGCCATCTGCAGTAAGAGACATGGATAGTGGAGTGTCTGAATGCCTTGCAGGTGCATTTCCTTCTTCTAAAATAATGCAAAATATAGTAAGCAGATATACTCAGAGTTATAGTGTCCCGGATGTCACAGAGCTGGTTTGCTACCTCCCTTCATTCTGTGCTGGATGAGCTGTGCAGATAATGATTTACAAATTAAAATATACTTTCATTAACAGATTTTCGACAAATGAGCAAAGAGGGCCAATGGAGCCACACAAGATGTTACTTGGTCCATGAGGAGTGATGTACTTTATAATTAGTTTCATTTACATGTGTTCAGTGGTACTGCACAAGTCATTTTTTATCCCTATCCAGAAATCATTCTCAAATGAGTTTGTGTATATGCAATTCTGATGAAATGCAGTAATGTTTTGCTAATGCTGGAGAACCTAGTAAATTACTCCATCCACTGAAAGTCAATGCAGATAAGGAACTTTCAAAGACAGATAGGTCCTTGTGATTATTTTCTTTGTATAATGTCCAGTGTACTTAGAGATAAAAATAAAGGATTTTATAAGATAGGGTTTTAGTTCTTGACAACAAAAGCTATTTCCTAAACCAGTCCAACACTGTCAATGGAAAGAAATGTGTTGATGAAATTGGAGGCTTTTGTGATCCATGGAGAGTGCTTAAAACTATGAAAAACTTCCACTGTTTTGCTCTAGTTACCTTGAGCAGATACAGGAAACTAGGGTATCTTTTACTCCTGCACACGTGTACATACGTTCATCTTCTCTGTTCTATAGCCTTTCTTCAGAAAGCCTCTGCATGGCTAGTTCTTGCTAGGTCCAGAGGTCCTTGGCTTTGTTTGTTATTGAGATCCCAGAAGGTATGGAGAAGTTTTGTTTAAAAATATTGTTGACTCAAGTAGCCCTTGCAATCTGAAGAAAAATACATCCCTAAAAATTGCCATCGGAGTGTAAATGGAGAAAATTAGCCAAAAGGAAAAAAGGGGTGACTGAAAGATAGGAAATCTCCCAGTGTGTATACGAAATGCCAGAAGGAACAGAACAGCTGATAGTCTTAAACAAGACCAATTATATACATGAAGTAAAGGGGATGGTAGGTAGTTGGAACAAGAGTTTGGAATTCCAAACTGAACTTGAGAGGAAGCTGAACGCAAAGTGTTGAATGCTCTCAAATGATAGGGGTAGCTCTTCTTCAGCTCAGAACCCTGAGAGAATTGCCAAATTAAATCTTCATTCATTCAGGAAGGATTTTAAATGTGCATTTCAAAGTAGCGACAGCATAAAGCTGGAAATAAGATATTTCAGTGCTTTTACGTAAAAGAAGAAATGAACTGAAAAGCAAGAAATCCTTGGTAAGACCTTGGAAGTTTGTTAAGTATTCAAAAAAATCATTGAAGAGACCGATGTACAGAACGCTACAAGGGTTTATTGAATGTGCATAATGCTAGCTTAATCTGATTTATTTTGTGGCCTTTTTTTCTACACAAAGAAAGCACACCTGCTCTTCTCTAGCCAGACTTCAGTAAGTTATTTCAGATATGATGCTGTGTTCATTACTAGTTTTATGTAGGTGGATCAGTATTGTGTAGATCTGTAAAAAAACACAAAATTGTTAAGAATGTGGCTCAATGGTCAGAATGAATCAATGAACAGGAGGGGTAGTGTTAGAACAAGAATCATTGCGCAGTAAAACTGGTGTTTTTCCTCAAAAATTAATCTTAAGAGTGATTTAATAAATTGCTTTTGTGAATGATTCTGGTCCTGGAACAGAAAAAGAGCTGATGACATAAACACAAAAGGTAACAGCCATATTAATCAGCTTCAAAATAATATCCATGAAGAATTAGATTTCAGATGATTCAAAGTAATAGGAAAGGGGCAAAATGAGCGACTCTTTACCATTATGCAATATAGGTTAAATTACAAGAATTTATCGTGTTCCCTGAGATCTCACTATCCAGAACTAAAAGAGAAAGAAAATGATATATATCTATTAGTCCCAAAATTTGTCAGTGGCTGAGCCACTGGTATGATGCCATCATTAAAAATGAGTTCTCCTTGGATATATCAGACGGATATATGGGAATTAATAGCAATGTTGTGGGAAGGTGTTCGGAATGCTGTCAGTGAGTTCTAAATTTGTGAGAAAAATGATTTCAGATTGGAGTAAACGTAGAGAACAAGTGTTAAAATGATTAAGAAAATGAGTGAGTATCCAGTTGTGAAAGAAGAGAACATAAGCTGTTCAGCTTAGCAAAACAGAAACTGAGAAATCAGATGATTACTACCTAGGAATAAAGCAGGATAAACAGTAAAGAAATAGAGATATTTAAGATACAGGATGGCGTTGACTAAAGAGTAAAATAGATATTCATTTCTCACAATTAAATATATGATGGATGTGGGAAACTTTCCAATCATGCCGACTCTATAGCAGTGTTCTACAACACTGAAAACTCTGTAAATCTGTAGTCAAGGAAGATTAAATCAACCTGAAAGAGGTGCAAAAAAGGTTACTAGATGAATAGCTAAATAATGAGTATATTGCTCAAGAGACATTAGAAGAAAACTTGCCTTTTCAAGCCTTTCAAAATGAGAACAGAGAGGGAATGTTGCTATTCTCTATAAATACATCCAGGGAATAAAGATCAGGGAAGAAAAGCCATTTTAAGCTAAAGGAAAACATTGGTATGAGAATAAATGAATATGAACTGACTATGAATAAATTTAATCTACAAATGAGAAAAAGACTTCTGAAGATGAAAGTAGCAATGGTAAAAATAGTTAAATGAGTGAAATAATCACTGAATTTTAGTGAAATTATTGGGAGTTACTGCTGTTTGTTGTCTATAGGAGATTTCTTCCTCTGACAGCAGAGATTCAATGACCTTGGTAACCTAAATGGACAACTTAGATAAATCAGTTCTCAAGGAGTTCAGCCTCAAAGTTCAATGAGCAGAAATAGGGATTAATTTGAAGTTGTTCTATATTAACGTTTTTTTCCACTTTCAGTTGTCTCAGTTTCCTATTTTCATTTCTATTCCATAACAGTCAATGAAGAGTCAGAAGAATCTGCAAAGGAAATTGGAGGACAGATGACGATTTTGGACACATCAGGTATGTATGTCTTATAGTAGATACTGGAAACTGCATTGGAGACTTTTTTTTTTTTTTTTTTTTTCTTTATTTTGAAAACGTACGTGGTTTTTTTTTTCTGTATTTTTTTCTCACTCCAAAGAAAGTAATAAATTTCAGGTCATGTTTACTTCTTTTTCCCCATCATTTTGGCAGCTTTGACCAAAAAAAAAAATTAAAAATTAAAGTAGAGGTGGGGAGGAGGACAAGAGCAGAATCTAGTTTACAAGTTACTACTGTTTTCTCTTCCAGTGGGTTGCAGCACAGCATGGTGAAACAAAGTTAATGCATTCTAAGTTTTTAATGCTAGAATAATAGCCACGGTACTTCTGTAAACCTTACTGTATTCATAAATAACTATGGAACTCTCTTTCACATTGTTTTTCCCAGAGACCTTTGTGAGTCAACTCAAACTATAAATACAGAAAGAATTTCTTCTGGTAGTTGGGCATTTTTCTCCATCTTAGTGGAAGACAGAACAAGAAGTTAAAAATAACTGTGAAGGGAAAGTAACAAAGGTTTCAATATTTTGAGAAGTAATTGTTTGATGCCATGTTGAGTTTTCAGTTAGAGGGTCACAAAGATCTCATTCTTGTCACTGACTTTCTCTCTACAGGCACAGTGGATGTGATGATAAATTTCTCTTTTGTTTGCTTCAAATTGCTATACTTTATTTACCTTAAGGACCAGGGGAATTGGGCTGCTTCATGAAAACTCAGGGCCCAGAGCACTGTTATTACTAGCTGTTGAATGTGTAGAAAGAGACTTGAGGAGACAATCAAATGGTGTCAGTAGTTGGGATGATTCACTGAGAATCAGTGTTTTTAAAGGTCAGGCGATAGCCTGATTTATTTTCCCTTTCTTGAGTGATAGGGCAGTGTGAATAAGCAGAATAGAAAAACATTGCTCTAATGGCACTACAGGAAAGGCATTGTTCATTGGGGCCGTACTAGGGGCATATTTCTTTTCTTCCAATTGACATTTTCCTGTACCTTTTTTCACTCTGGTTCATTCTTCACCAATAGTAGCAAATTATAATTATTCCATACAAGTCATCTGCATTTTTCTCCAATAGAAATCTCAAATATTTCTGCTGCTCGTTCCCCTTTCTTGTTTCGGCAGGAATTTTGATTGCTTTTGCTGTTAGTTATGTATGTGAGTACGGTCCTAGATATTTCTAACAACTTTCACCAAACCTCAAATTCAATAATCTCTGGAGTTTCTATTCAGGTATGCTTGATGCAGTCTTGCTACAGCTATGGGCAGGAATGGAAGGACGATGTCTATTCCACCCTGTAGCTAAGCTCAGTCTAGAATTGCTTTTATTTTTCTTTCTTCAACAAACTTTATCTCTTTAGTTCTTTTCAGATTATTTCAGAGCATTTTTTTCAAAATGTCAGGTACATTTACTGTTGTTCTTTAGTCTGAGCAATTTAAACTAGTTGATTTGTAATCACTAGACAGACATCTGGAAGAAGTCAGACAAAAATGTTGTGTATCCTTTAACCAGATGTGTGCTGGATAAAAACTTGTATCCTAATTTGTATCCAAATTGGGCTTGGGCTGGAGTGTGGATCTGAGGCTTAACTGCATCCAGATTTAAAGTTTAACAAAAATGACATGATTAGGATTCTTAACGTTTCTTCACAAAGACAGAATGGTCAGCTTTCTGTAAAATTATTTCTATCATCTCCTTCACCAGACCAATTTGAGAATAGACTTTAGTTGAATGGCCCAGAAGTGAAAAATGAATTCTCTTCAGTTATTTAGACTAGCGTGTAGAGGGGATGGGAATCCTGAAACCACAGTTGTCAAAACTGATGTGAAAATGAATGAAAATGATCATGGTATGAGTGTCACCACAGAATCATGGAATGGTTCGGGTTGGAATGGATCCTTAAAATCACATAGGTCCAACCCTCTGCCATGGGCAGGGACACCTTCCACTACCCCTGGTCACTACCCACTTCCACTACCCACAGCCCCATCCAACCTGACCTTGTACACTTCCAGGGAGGGAGCATCCCTACATTCTCTGAACAACCTGTTCCAGTGCCTCAGTGCCCTCATAGTGAAGAATTTCTTCCCGATACTCAATCTCACAAACAAAGATGTAAATATTGTTGTTAATACCAACCCCTGAGGAACACTGTTACTGGACATTAAGATGTAGACCACAGCTCTTTAAGTGCAACCATCCAGTCATAGTAGAGCCTTACAACTTTTCTAGTCTTCTCACTCCCTCAATGGAGAATCTAGTGAATTCTGCAAGTTCACTACAGTCCACAGTTTGTAATGCAAATAAAATAAATAAATTCAGGCTTAAAATGCCATGCGCTGCAAAATTGCTCCCAACCTTTTCTTGCAGGAAATAAATGAAACTAGGGTGAAATGAAAATTGTATTCATCATTTGATTAAAACCTTTTGCAGCCCATGTAATCCAAATGCCTTTACGAATGGTTGTCACTGAGACTGATGTTTGAAGGAGAGAGTCCCAGAAGTTTTTAAAAAAATTATTATAAAAGAGATAGTAAATGAGAAATAAAAAGCTTACCTCCTTCCTCTTCCCCCCTGCTACTGTCCTCCCCCCCAAAAGCAAGAAAGAAAACAATCATCTCTGCATCTCTGCACCCATAGACAGCTGTGTTTTCAAAAAAATACTTTTCTGCTCTAGAAATAGAAAATAGCAACGTCTTGAATCCTGGGAGAATTCCCAACCTACAAAATTTTCTCTTTTGTTTTCTTAAAACTGTCAACAACAACAACAACAAAATGAAAAATTGAAAGCCTTGAAAGTTAAAATCAGCTCTACTCGAGACCAGCTCCTGCATGGACAGTAGTAGATCACAAAAGCTTTCCAGATTTAACTTGCTTTCTTCTCAGATGAATATACCTCTTTTGTGGATCAGGGATATGTTTGGTCCTCTTTAATCATTGTTCTTCTTTTGTTGAAACTCCCAACATAAAGAGAGTAATGGTGTTGGTGAAGTTTTCCTGAAGACTCCCAGAACTCTTTCAGCAGAAGCACATATCCAGTAGATTTAAAGTGGGAACTCACCTTTTCAGTCAAGGTTTCAGGGACTTCCCAAGGTTATACTTGTGTGAATTGAATATGTAACTCTAAAATTTTATAGTTCCTAGAGCTTTGAATCTTTCTGCAAAGCTCATCGTAATCTCTAAACCCTTCTCAACATTAGCTGCCCAGCTCTGGAAAGAAAGAGCAATTTCAAGAATGCATTGTCAAGATTTTGGCCTGACCAGAAGTGATTTGTATTCCTCTCCATCTTCAACCTCCAGGATGACTTTGATCTGGTGCTTTTGCCCATTTTACCTTTGCCTACATTGCTTTACTGAGAACTAAGATATCAAGTCCTTCAGAGAAGGGACTGGCTGTTTTACCTATCACCAGGATCTCTGGTTAGAATTTAAGAAATTAGGGATGTAGACAAGGTCTAGAAAAAATATTTAATGGGATCAGGTTCAGCTCTAAGCCCTTATGTTACAGAAATGTCTCTTGTTGTTTCGAAAATCTTTCACCTTTTATGAAATGCAATTTTGCCTCCACAGATGAGAGCCACTTTCATCTATTGGTGCAAGTGTAACTCAAGCATCATAGTCAGCAGCTACTGAGAACCCTAGTTGATTTTTAGCCAACCTTTATTGGAGTTCAGTTACTAGCACATTGTATTTACCATGACTTATTTTTTATGTGAGATCTAAGCCGTATCTTTAATCTCACTGGTATTCTATGACTCAAATCTTTTCATCCAGTGTTACAAAAGCTGTTCATTACTGATTTAACAGCAAGCAGGAATTAAGTTACTTCTTTGAATTTGGTTAGTCTTAAGTCTTCAGACTTATGTGAATTAGTACTATCATTGATAATGGGAATGAATTCACTTCAGGAATCACTTCAGAACTTTATTTTGGTCATTAAAAGATAAGACTGTAGATAGCATGATCTGGGTTATAGTGCTGTTACAGCCACTAGCTTACTCAGGAAAAGTCGCTACATTTTCTCATGCTTCAATTTTCTGTTTGCAACATACCAGTTTTCCTCACAATGTGCTAAGACCTTCATCTTCTGATTATGGAAAAATAGCTATTAAGCATTGCTTTATTATTTAGAATGCCAGGAGAATCTCTTCAGACACCATGAAAATAATTAAAGAGAGCAAGACAATAAAGATAAAAACTTCTTTAATTATTTTTTAATAGGGCTTTTGTTGGATTACAAAATGTCACTGAAATAATAACAACATAAAATAAGAGATTTGTTTCTCTGTTTCATTTTCCAGAGCTGGTGATCTGTAACTGCCTGTTAGCTGTTACACAATCATGTCTCTTGGTATGCATTTAATACTTTAAATATGCCCCTGATTATATGAAAGCTTGATTATTCCAACATTTTTTAGGTTCTGCATGATAATCAAGGCTGTGCTGGAAGGACTTGATCTAATGCCAGCTGTTGGCAAAGCAAAACCCAACACTAAATCCTGAGGCAATATTATGTGTTTTCTAAATCCATGTTCCCTGGGGGGAACCTGTGTAGCTTCAAATTGGGCAGCAGTAAACAACATGGGCCTCTGCCGTGATTTTTCTCTGATGTTTCACATTGCACTGTGGGAAAAAAAAAAAAAATTATTCTGCTGTTATGTTTCCAAAGACCTGTTTGCAGATATTTAAAGCAGATGTAACTAGCCTCATGACAGGGGCAATCCAAAAATTAAAATTTCCTCTTAGATCAATTTCACTTTTTAAATTCTGAGTAATGGCTTTGTCAGATTGAGTTCATATCTCCTCACCGTTCATATATCTGTGGTCTGAATAACAGAATCAAGAAGGTTAACAGAGGTACAGCAAAGTGACCAATTAAGAGATTGCTTAAAAATCCTTTTCATAGGAAAGTATATAAACAGGCTAATGTTAGGTAACTATATTAATGAGTAGGTAGCCTGTGGATGAATAAGCAAACAGGCAA